TGCTTTAAAAATTATATTATTGGAATTTAAGCTTTGTGAAATTTTTTTACTATTTTTGGTATTGTGATTAATATGAGTACATAAATCTTTGTGACTATTTCCTTGTGATAATTGCTAAGAAGTAGATTCTTACTATTAAATTTTGAATAAAAAGTAAGCACTATGAAACTGTTATTGAAATAAAAAGTTTTTTAAATTGGAGATTTCCTCAGAAGTTAAGTAAGCTATGTTATCAGGGAAATGCAAATCAAAACCACAGTGAGATTTCATGTCACAATGGTTCTAATGGATATTATCAAAAGTCAAGAAATAATAAATTTTGACAAGGACAGAATGGACAGAATGTAAACTGATACAGCCACTCTGGAAAACAGTATTGAGATTCTGCAAATCACTGAAGATATAATTTCCATGTGATCCAGTATCCTCATTTTTGGTATTTGCCCAAGCAATGTGAAAACACTAGTTTGAAAAGATATGTGATACACCCCTATGTTCATTGCAGCACTCTTCACAGTAGCCAAGCTATACAAAAATGCCTAAAAATGGGTGAATGGATTAAGAAGATGTGGTGTGTATATATACAAAGGAATGCTACTCAGTCGTAAAAAGCTGAAATCTTGCTACTTGCAACAACTTGAATGGACTTTGAGGAGATTATGCTAAGTGAAATAGAAGGAGGAAGATAAATACTGTATGATTTCACTCATTTGTGAATTTTTTTAAAAAAAGAAGCAGTTGATCCAGCAAAACAAAAACAAATCCTTGGACTCTGGCAACATAATGGTGGTTACCAGAGTGGGTGCTGGAATAGGCAGAAGGAGGCAGATTGGTTGGTGTGGATGGTGACTGGACATTTGGTGGCAGGGGAGGTGTAACCAAATGCAGTTTCTGGGGTGAGAAACTGTACATTTGAAATCTATACAGTGTTGTGAACTCATGTTACTTCAATCAAAAGAAAAAGCTGGAGAGGGGGAGAAGTCAAGTAAGTTAATTTTGCAACTGGGAAAACTAAAGACAAGAAAGGAATAAGCTCCAAGTAATAGAGTAATTTAGAAAAAGACCTACATTTGACTATTTGAAAGTTCAGTATGATGAAGAGCATTACATATAGACTTAAAACACAAATGATAAGTTTCTGTCCAACTATCGGAGGCACAGGTGTGGCAGGTGTAGAAGAAGACTGCATGTAAGGAGATTGCTTACATTGAACAAATAAATAGATTAATCAAATAGGTAAATATGTTAAAGATAAAGAGACTAGGGTTTCTCACTGTTGGAGAAGGCATTTACTTTTAAGTGTGGAAAAGGGGAAATCTGGAAAGAATTTTGAGGTGTTAGGTTAGAATTAAGATATTGGCAGGAACTCATAGTTTCAAAATATACACATAGCTTCTTTCCATGCTGATAGTACTTTCGCAAACATGGTGAATGTTCCTAAAATCCACCAGACTTTCTGTAAGAAGGGTGGCAAGTACTAACCCCACAAAGTCCCACAGTACAAGAAGAGCAAGGAAAGCAATGTTAGGACAGGAAGCAGAGAGGCTAAGGTGGGCAGGTTAAGTAGATTTTCTGGAAAAAAGGATAAAACCACAAAGATTGTGAGACTTGAATATGTAGAGCCCAACTGCAAATCTAAGGAAATACTGGCTATAAAGAGATGCAAGCTCTTTGAACTTGGAGGCCATAAGGAAAAAAAGCACCAAGTAGGTAATCCAGTTCTGAGGTTATGCTCACTTCAGTCTCTCTCTCTCTTTCTCTCTCTCTCTCTCCCCCTCTCCCCCTCGCTCCCTCTTTCCCTCTCTCCCTTCCTTCCTTCCTCTCTCCCTCACTTCCTCCCTCCCTCCATTCCTCCCTCCTTCTCTGTCTCTGATAGATATAGGAATAATTATAGATGCTTGCCTGTATAAGTTTATGTGGTTATTGTTCACATATAACACCCATATATCTAAGCTTTGTCCACTGAGAGAGACCAGAAGCAATGACACTACAGCAACAATGTAGCAGTGGAACCCCCAGATCTTAATGCCATCCTTCACTAAAATGACCCAAGACTTCTGGGTTGATCCTAGGTGTGGGGCAGGAGAAGTGTAAGATGAACTTGGAACACCCTATGGTGGTAGAAAGTACATCAAAAGTACACAAAAGCCACTCTGAAGGGTCTCCATGCTACCCAAATAGGGACAACTTTAGCATCAAAACAATGAAATTATCAAACTATAACTTACTGAAATGAATAGAAACTTACAAATTCAAAGTGGCATACACACATGAATACATGCAAATAAACAATGGAGAAGAAAAAACTCTTCCTTGCCATAGACTGCCAGCTAATACATGTATAAAGAACAATGGTATAGAAAATGACACCTTGACAGGAGTGGTTGATTCAGAAAAGTTGGTAATGAGTGGTTTTGTGGTTAGAAATTGATGAGGGATAAGACATTGGTGTACTTTTGGAACACATTTCCACAAAATAGTACTAATCAATTACAAAGGAAAACATAGTAATTTTATAGTGAAAACAACAGCTATAAAAAAAGGAAAACTACCACAAATGATAATCTGGGAGAAGAAATTTGCAAAATGTATCAAATTGGTGTTACTTGCAAAATGGCTAAAAATTATGCCAGTGGTTTTTGCAAATAGTCTAATATAGTACAGAGAGCTAACAAACTTCTCTCCCAAAATATAGAAACACCCTTGATATGCTCACCAAGAATTTCTAATTTTTTAATTAAACATTGTGACACAAATGGCAGTATCCTCAAGTATTAACAGGAAGGGTCATAGTTTGATCCAATCAGAGAATCTTGGGTTAATATTTATCTCATCCATCCAATGTAGGAACTTCTCTAAAAGCTTTGGCACCACCATCCAGCATCTACTGGAATATATCTATTTTTTTTTTTTACTACTTCTTACATCAAATATTTAAGGAATACTTTTGTGCCAGTGCAGAGATAGTGCTGAGAATTGAGTAGAGAGCAAAAAGAAACATAGTGCATCTCTTTGGGGAGGTTACAGACTATGGGGGGGGGGCAGCTTTAATCATATAATCACATAAATAAGTTTAAAACTAACTGAGATAAGTGAAGAAGTATATGATAATATGAGGACTGAACAGGGGGCAATTTGACTGTCAGGGAAGGCTTCCCTAAGAAAGTGTAGCTTGAACTGAACTGTAATCAATGGGAATGGGGCTAACTTGGTAAAAAAGAAGAAGCAAGACCATTTTAGGCAGAGGGGCAGCATGTGAAAAGGCCCTGTGGCAGGAGATAGTAAAATGAGAAAGGGGGGGTTTAGAGAAACCAAGGAGGTTGGAAATGATAGGAAAAAAGAGAGTGAGTTTGGATGAGAAAAGGCTGGTATGGCACATGGAACCAGTAAAGTGAAGGGTGGGACCTTTAGCCCAGGAGCCCGGAAGGGGGTAGGGATCAGACCGGTTCTGTTTGGAGAAGATCCCTGTCATTGCTGTGTGCAGTTCTTAGTTTGCCCAAACTCAAAGAAATAAAAACTACAAGGCAATAAAACACGGTCCCCATAGTGCCATCCTCCGTATTATCCCAGGGACAACAGATCTAATCCTTCTTTCTCATGACAAAACATTTGGGGAGGACGGCCTCCCCTGCGTTTACTCCCTCTACTTTTCTGCCACCTAGCTCTTTCACCAAAGGCCATTGTTTCTGTCCTCCCTCCACCCCAGGCATATTTTGGAATGCCATTCAGTTTGTCCTTTTCTCTCTCAACATGTGGGTCTGAAAAAGGAATGTAAAACTGATGGAGTGCCTAGGAAGACAAATGGAAAATGATTATTGAACAAGCTGAAAACTGCCCAAAACATAAACTCTCACTCTGAAACCATCATCTGACTGAAATGGAGAATCATAAAACTGAGAATAATGAATATCAAACAACTAAAGTATATTTTCAGCACTGGATGGCCAGAGAATATCAGGAGAGGGAAGGCAGGAGGCCATTTCATCCTTTAGACAGAGTTCTGGTGACCCAACACTAAATAGGAGGAAGTGAACATTTTAAAAATGAATCCTGTGAAGCAAATAGCGAGCTTAAACATTACACTTTGGGGGAGAAGAAGCAAAACAAAGAAAGGTTAAAAATTATTATCTAGCATATTGTGCATCAGAGCCACCTATGTGCCCATGTGTGCCCACAGATGAAGCATTGAATAAATGCAATTGTGGTTGAATAATAATATTTAGGATATTATAATCTATAAAATTTTTAACAACATGCAAAAATAGAACTATATTTATTTATAGTTATTTAACTATATTTATTTATTAACTATATGTATTTGTTTATTTACTGCATCCATCTGCAGTAAAAGCATGAAGATATGGAAAGGAATAAAAGCCCCAAGTGTATGAAAAGAGCTACCTCTGGGAGGACGCTCATCCTAGAAGGCCTGGCAAGGAGTCCGTGGACTGGAGGCTGGATAGGCACCTCTGTACGTCTTCGGCTAGGTTTGGGCATGTGAAGTTCACTATATTATTATTTAGACCCTCTATTATTTATGAAATACTTCCCAGTACATCTTTTAGAAGAAAAAATTGACAACCTGAATTGCTGGTAAATACTAATAAGGAGCAGAAACAAAGACTCTTAACTTCTTTTTAGTTATTGACTTTCTACTTGAGGAACAGATTCTAGACAGGTTTGATGTCTGGATGGCATAAGATATTTTCACCATAAGACCTGGCAGAACACAAATGGGCAGAATTGAGCCCCATTCAACAGACTGATGAGGGATGAGGTGCAGTCACTTAAACTCCAACTGTACCCAAATTAGAAGACCCTAATCCTGTATTATGTGTCTGGTCTTATGTGGCATGGAAGGTGTAAATGCTGAATTTACAGAGTCAGCTTGTCAGAGGAGCAGTGAATCTTAGAATCGTTCTCCTATTCCTTGTTGCACGGGCATGGACAGTATGGAATCTACATATTTCAGTAGTTTACAAGGCATGAAGTCAACTTACCTGCTGTTCCAAGGTGATTGGATCAATAAACGTCACTAGGTTTATAGAAAAGTAACCAATGACATTTCTCATTTTACAAGCTTTTCCAATTCGGAGGCATAAAGAACTGAGAACTTGGGGATCCACTGACGTCTGAGGCATGGTGGTACCAGAGGAGATGAAGGCATCTTTGGCATGAAACTGGTCCCCCGTGGACAGCACCCTTATTTCTCCATTGGGTTCTATCAGCATGTCCACCGTCAAGCTGGTGATACTTTGTGCTGGTGGGTATGCTTCAATTACACCTCCTGGAGGGAGAAGCACAGAGAAGGTGAAAGGATGTGATCCCATGGGCTGCACCCAGTGAGAGAAGAAGGAAAGAGGCTGAACTTTGGCAGATGGACTCAGGCCCAGATTCTGCATTGGCCATTTCTTGTAAGACTTTGAGCAAATAGCTTCAATTCTTTGAACTTCATTTTCCTTATCTGTAAAATGGGCCTAAAACCTCTACTTCACCAGATTTTTGTGAAGATTAGAGATACCACATGTATAGTATGTAGCCCAATACTTGGCAAATAGTGGAGATTAAGGAATGGTTGTTTTGATTCAGATCATAATTAGGTAGACACTGTGAAGACGGTGAAAGCAATGCCCATTCATTACACAAATAATGAACTAAAGGACTAAAGGCAGATCCCTCAGGAGAAATTAACTGCCCATTGTCCAGAGTTTGTACCTTGATGACCCCTGTTCTTTCTTCTTGAACGGCTTTTTGAAGTTTTGACACATTAGGGTTTTTATCAGGCATGAGAGAATACTGACTATTGTGTCAGCAAAAGAATTCCTATACAAAGTCAGTAGTAAAACATTTGAACAAGTGTGCTACCTCCTTGTTAATAATGAGAGCTTTGTAATTGATCATATTTTCCTTTTATCCTGAATGTCAAAAACTTTAGAGGCAAATTGCATGCTCAGTGACAGGGATGACATTAGTCCTGACTAATTTTGTGGGATAGCTCAGTGGTATCCACAAAAGTTACATGGCCTGGTTTTCTGTTTGTGGTTTAACATGTCTTACTGTCTATTCCTTTTATAGAAAAACATTCAAAGTATTACTTGTAAAGAATTTGATGATGTAATTTAAAAGTAAAAACAATTAAGTTTTCCCTAGATAAGATGCCTCTGGAATCTGACAATATATAGATAAACTTGGCATATTTTTTACACATTTGCTGGAAGGTGACCTCTGCCCATGGCTTTGAATGGCATAGATGGTGAAATCCTGGGATTTTAGCCATTCTCAAATGCAGCCATCAGTTTCTTTATACAAAAGGCACTTTCTTTAAATGTCTCTATATTTGGTTGGAGCAGGCCCCAAAGAAAACTGAGTTTTAGAAGGAAAACTGATTTATCTATTTGGTTGGTTTGAGATGTGCTTGTCTTCAAATGAGGCCTACTGGCATGTGTTACGCCTACTAAACACTAGTTGTTTGGATTTAGCAAGGTAAATGCAACAAAACAGCAGCAGCAAAATCCATCAAAAGCAAAAAAAACCTACTGAGTCTCTCTGATTCAGTTGACTTTGTGGTTTTAGCTGTCACCTACTTTTTGAAAGGTAGTGCTTCAGTGGAAACACATTATCTTTTATACTCAGAAGATTATTTTTACTTCAAAGTTTCTTATTTGTACCATTTTTCTCAGATTCATGACCATAATCTTTTCACTGTTACTTTCTTTCCTTTCAAAGCAATTAATTCCTTTTTTTTGAAAAAAAAAAAAAAAAAAGTATTGCCTCTGAGACAACCCTATGACAATATAGGAATCAAATCTGTAGCACATTTTGTGGCTGTAAGCATACTTGGGAGAGGAGAAATGAAATGAAAGAGGCAATGGTGGGAGAGGGTGGAGAGAGTCAGGAAACCAGCTCAGGCAGGGAGCATTTCTGCACATTGTCCTGTACGCCCTGGGCTCTGTGCCAGGCAGAGGTTAGAGAACACATAACTTACTAGAACCCAACTGTTGATGTGCTAAAACTGTGGAAGGTAATTGTGTTCCCATTCACTACCTAGATGTCATGTGATTTTGCTCTAGTCACTTCCTCACTTTAAGCCTATTTTGCCCATTCATTATGAAATTGGCTTAATAAAGCTTCTTCTGCTTCCCAGATAAGAACTGAATTTACGATATGCTTGAAAGAAAGAATAGAGATGAACAGGAGGTCACAGCAAAGCCTAAGCTGTGTTTATAGAACTCAGAGGAGATATGGCTGGGAAAGCCCTTCATAATTCACAAAGCTCACATGAAAATAGGTTAAAGGAAGGTTTATAGGCTGATCTTAGAGGATCTGGAAACTTCCTAACAGCCTATCTTGGATGAACCTGGAGATATTCATGGTCTTTCTCTCATAACTTGAAAAAGCCCCTGTTGATGATTTTTTAATGTACATACCTTAGTTTCTTCCATTTAAGCATGGCATTGGTGCTTAGTTCTACTTTTCTATCAATGGGTGCATGTGGAATTTTGTAGAATCACAGAAATTTAGATTTAAGTGGATACTGGAGATCATGCAGCATAACTTCCCACCCCCTTCTCCCTATGAAGAATCTCTTTTCAGCTTCTTGTTAGATGGCTCACCATCCAATCCCTTGATTAAACCATTGACAGAGTGTTTCCTCCCCCCTCACCACACACCCTACCCACCCAGTATATCTCAACAATCAACAGCTCCTTCCTTTCTGACACTCTCTCATACACTGAGCTAAATATATGAGCCTTTTATTGACTCCACTGTGCATTAATGGAGTAATTTTTTGGGTCAAGTCACTTAATCTTCTGTACCTCAGTTTCCCCATCTATAAAACAGGTTGATAATGGCATTTACCTCATGGAATTGTTAGGAAGAGCAAATTAATTAATATCCATATACTTAGAATAGTGCCTGGTACAAAATTAGCACTAGCTGTGCTTATGTCATACTCACTGTCATCTGTGTGCTGTTGCTGTCATCCAGCACAATATTAGTGTGATGTTATTATATGTTAATGTTAATAAAATAATATTATGACAACAGCAGGGGATAGAGTGGAAAGGCATCTTCTGTGGCCTGTTATCCTAACCTCATTGTATGGGTAAGCATACAAGGAGATCTGCCTTACACTGTAACCTTCTAGAGTGTGCAGGGCATGTGTGGGTGTAGCCCTCTCACAGCGACCTCTACAACTGGAGACAAGTATCATCTTCTCTATTCATTCCCTCATTTGCAGACCTCCTAACCTCCTTAGAAAATGAGAATGAGTTAGGAGGAGGAGGATGAAAAGAATGGAGCTTGGCTTTATTCCCAGGCAGTAAAGGATCCTTTTTAGGAACTACCTTTAAAATTAGAAATGAGGTCATTTCTGCTCTTCTAGAAAATGGCCGAGGAAACTAACATTTATTAAAGACCCATTTGAGTCAGGCTCTTTGGTGGAAACATATATACCTGTATTTCAGTGACTCCTCCCAACAACCCTGTAAAGTAGGCAAGTGGGGAAACTGAGCCTCTGAGGGTTTAAGAACCTTGCTCAAAGTCATGGATGAGATCCAGACCCACGTCATCTCATTCCAAAAGCAACCCTTCAGGAGAGGTTTTTGGTACAATAAAAGGGGGTTGGAGGTGGCCATAATCTTGAACTATGCATATCATGCTTGGTATGCTCGGTACCTATTTACTTAAGAGACAGAGTGCAAGATAAATATTCAGGCAAGGTTTAAAAGCAAATAAAATCTGCTTGTAGGAGAACTTTTCATAAACAACACAAGAGATGCAAGATATTTAAATTGGCCCCAAGTTGACCCAGAACTAAAATTCTAGGTTGTGTAGCCTAATCCTCAATAGAAACTTTACAGTCTTATTTACCTTGACTGAGAAATGTTTGGAGGAATTTCCTCCACGTCGGGAACCGTTTCTCATTGACTGGCTGTGCGTGCTGTGCTAAAATGCCCGCCAGCTCCTCGGAGATCTTCACCAAAGCTGGCTCCTGCAGAAACAAATTAAATAGAACCACAAGCAATTTTACTACAGAAATGAAAACTGCTTGTGGAGTGATTAAAAACCAGGCCTCCAACAGGCAAAAAAAATGTGGTTACTGTTTACCCAGAGTCAGAAAGCCATTTTCAAATTTTTCTCTATTTTTCCAGCCATATCAGTTTTCATATTTCAAAGTGATTTGGCCCCCGAAATATTGCTGACAATTGTGTTCTGTTGTCTCTGAAAGACAGCCTTTTGTGTGGGCATCAGGAAACCCCAGTTTCAGACCTACTGCCGCCTGACCAGCTGAGTGTCCTGGGGCAATAAGCCTTTCCACTCGGGACCTCAGTTTCCCTTTATGTAAAGAATAGGGCCATTGTATTCCTAAGATCCTTCAGACTTGAATATTTTTATCCTAATACCGTACTAGGGCTGACCATGGGAAAGATTATGGGGCTGGCAGTGTCTTTCTGTGGCACCTCCTTCTCTTTTATCTGTGCCCTTTTCCTCTTGTTGTTGGGCCCCTCCTACCCTATAATTTCATAAACTGTGGTTGACACTAAAGGTAGAATTTTAGGTGGGGCAGAATGCAAGATTTTAGGTGAGAAAGGGGTATTGGGCGCCCTTAATCTACTTGACATACTCCTAGGATCATAGCCTCATCTGACTAGATATGAGGCTGATGCTCTATTATCATAAAACCACCTGAAACTTCAGAGGCTCCATTTAAGATGAAAACAGTAGGAAACCCTTTAATGAACAAGAGTCCTGGCTTTTAGATAAAAAACAGCCTCGGTTTGCCTGGACAATTTTTTTGGTTAAAGTCTTAAAAATGTAGTCTCCAAAATTCTTTGGTTAAAGTTTTAAAGTCTTAAAAGTTTTCAAATAGAAGCCCCGCTCATTGGATCTTTTTCTGCCAGAGTTGGGCAGATGCAAGACCATTTGATAGACAGTATTTATATCTCCAATATGGGACATTGACAAAAAAAATTCAGGCTTGCTTTGGGCTGCTGGGAGACTTTCAAATCTGTGAGTGAGCACTCAGCAATTCAGAGAAATTGTAAAAAAATGGAAACTGTGAAAAATCTTAGAAATAATTTGTATACTCATTTATTTCCAGTTTCCCAACAAGGTAGGTCTGCCCTACCTCCCTTCCCCCCAGAACATCTGGTTCATTCTGGGTCCAGTGCCTTCTGAGGATTTACAATAGAAGGCAAATGTCTGGAAAGTATATTCTAGGCAGGTCCAAATAATCTGATTAATTTCTGAAATACCCAGAAAATCCTGGTAGGAGAGTTAGCTTAGTAAGTGCTTGACACACAAAACAAAAATGCCATGAGAAACAGAGAATGCCCCGGCCCCGCACTCAGTTCAGGATGACTCGCTGCACAGCTGGGGAGGTCTGCTAAGAAGGGCTGGGGAGGCAGCATGCAGCGAGCCTCTGCCTTGTGAGGTGGAGGCAGAGAAAACTGCTCTCAAAGCAGTGGGACTCTCCCCTGTCACATCCTGCACAGTGTACACATTTTTTCTGGTCTTTCCTATGCATTACCTCATCTCCCCAAAGCCCTGCATCTAAATCATCAACAAACACACAAAACTCCCAGTTCCAATAATGTGGACTCCTTTGTTCCTTCTGTGAGCACTGCGCTCCAAACTAATCTTTCTTCTTGCGTTGTACTTGTTTCAGTTAAAATCATTCTACCCTAGCACAGAAGACCAATTGTCTATGATTCATGAAGTGATTCTCATCTTGCTCTGGACAACCTAGTGTCGAGGCCACAAAACTTGAGGGCCAGCCCCTCAACCAGGATAGGGGAGGCTTCCTTGTTCTGCCTTGATTGAAGAGCCTTTTTTGCTCTGCTTCTGAAAGGCAGTAAACCATCTACTCAGTTATCTGCTATGTGGCCATTCATGGCACAATATATTTCTCAAAAAGTACAGGTCCTCAGAATAGTTAAAATAGGGTCTCCCTGGTGGCTCAAGGGGTTAAGCACAGTACTGTGAAGCTATCTGCAGCCTCTGCAGCACAAGTTCGATCCCCGATCAGCTAGGGAGTTACCCACATGGTGCAGCAGACCTCTCCTGTCTCTCCTGCTGCTCCCCTCAGCAGTGTATATCAATCAGTCTGCCTGTTCTGCTCCTCACTCTGTCTCAGGTGAATCCTCTCACCCCCCCACCTCTGGCCTGTACCCCAGTTCTTGTGTGCCTAAATAAATAAATTTTTTTAAAGAATAGTTAAAATAACAGGGACCACAGGAAAGCAGAGGTTGGCAGGGGTTGGGGGAGGAAGGGGAGTTAGTGTTTACTGGGTACAGAGTTTCATATCCCAAGATGAAAAGAGGCATTGAGATGGGTGGTGGTGATGTCTGCACAACATTATGAAGGTATATAATACCATTGAAGTGTGCACTTAAAAATAGTTAAAAATAGTTAATAAACTAAATTTTACATTATGTATATTTTACCACAATTTAAAAAACAGGGAATAACTTACAGAATGTCAGGGCTTTTAAGTAGCCACACTAGCAAAAAAAAAAAAAAAAAAAAAAGTTTATGTATTTTGGAGGGTGAAGATGTGAAAGAGGTGAAAACCTTGCAACCCAAATCTTGAAGCTAAATCTCCATCAACTTGAGAATCAAGGAGAATGTCAGCATGACACATGCAGAAGGCCATCTGCAACCTGATCTCTCTCCCTAGTGTAGCCTCATTTCTCTCTTTTTCAGTTCCCAGCCTTGCCCCAAACTGCCCTGGCTCAGTCTCTTTCCTCTGTCTTCCTTCTTCCTCTTTCTCCCTTTCTGAATTAGTTCCTGTCATTTTTTCCTCCAGGAAACCTTCCATGCACCCCTCATGGGATCTTATTTCAGCCAGAGTCAGGCAGATGCATCATCATTTCTTTGACCTCCTCAGTTCCTTGGGGGATTCTAAGTTCAGTAGCTTTGGGATCATTTCCCTGGTGCTTCCTCAGGGAATGTTTATGAAATGCATCTTGGTAGTGGTAAACCCCAGGGTCCAGCCCTTAATAGCTAATATTATAGGAGAGAAAATGTGGAACTTGTCACCATGTTCCCTCCATGCTGTCAGGAGACACCTGGGGAAGGTGACCACTGAGGAACCACCAGTTCTTCTGGGGTGGATTTGATGGGATTGCCTCCTTCTGAGGGGCACTGGGAAGAAAAATGAGGTGACACTTATGAAGCATCACTCAGTAGCAACTGCTTTGTGAGGACCAATAGTGATCTGTAAGACTGTGGCTCGTGTGAGGCATCCAGATCCTAGGCCAGGCCACTGCCACTGCCTCTGCTTACAAAGCCAACCATTCTGTCTGACCCACGGCGTTTGTGCTGTGTATTAAGCCACAGCAAGGGGGGAGATTTCCTAGAGGAAAATCTGCTGCAGGAATCTGGAGGCTGAATCATGTCCCATCATGAGAAGTACACAGCTGAAGGCATTGGCTGGATAATGCTGGGGCACACAGAGGCAGCTTGGGGCCACGATTAACTCCCTAAGAAAAAGACAAGGAGAGGAATAACGGGAGGGGTGTTAACTGTTTGATTTATTTCTTTATTTTGCAAGTCTCTGATAGGAAATATAAGGATTATATTAAGAATGACCTTGCTATCATCCCTGCAAAAAGGGAACAGAGCAGAACCTGTAGCTCATATATTCAAAAAAGAGCAGAAAAATGACATTGTGTGTAAGAGCTTCATTTTATCGCTCCCCACCTCCAACCCCCATCACCCTCAACAGTTTCTGCTGGAGATTTGGAAGCTGCTTGTGAACTGATAGGTGAGGCCAGACCTCAGATCTTGGTACAGAGGACTCCATCACAGCAGTGGAGTAACAAGCTAAGAACACTCTCTTCCTAATAAGGAACGAGGGCTTAGTTTCTCAGGGGGAGTTTCTGTTCTCTAGTGTTTGCCGTTGGCTTACTTCAAACATAAGTACCACAACTTTAAGGGCAGATGATAGAAAGGGACAATCTGTAGTTATTCAGGCTTATTCTGTCCAGAATAAACTTAGGTACACACATACACCACACACAGACATACAAAATTATGCCAGACAAATCCCTAAATTCATGTGAATCATCTTGCCATAGCAGGTTCCCGTTCATGTTCTCATGTGGTCCTTTTAATACCACAATGAGGTCAGCCTGTGCAGTGGTAATATTATCCCACTTTATAGATGGGAATTAGAGGCACCTAGAATGAAGAGGCATGTGTGAGAGGACTTGCTGAGTGGTGAAATTCTTTTATTGGATGATTTTCCACATGTGACTGAAGACAGAAAAAAATGGAGTACGGGGAACCATTGCTAGTTTGCTTCCTTCACCTTTTCAACCTCTCTAATGTAGCCATAGCTGGAGATGGATAGCTGGCTAGCTGCCTGGCTGTCTATAATGTCCTTTATAAGCTGTCACCTGGGCACATCTTCCACTTACAAACTTGTGGAATGAACAGACAGAGAGTTCCTTGTCAGTGAGTCACAACAAGGTTATGGGCTATCAGTCAGTGCTTCTAAGATGGAGCAGAGAATTTAGAATGAAGGACTCTGGGGATAAGAAAAAGAAAGTATATATTTTGTGGATGGTAAATACATGTTAGAAAACTGCACTTTAATTTTTGAAAAAATTCAAAATTCCAGATTGTTATTCCATTGTGATCAGGCTGGCTCTGGCAATGCACATTAGCAGCTGGCCTTCGTGGCGCAGATACGCCCGAGCCCTTTCCATCCAGGCAAAACTTTGGCCCCATATGTGCCACTGCAAAGGCTTGTCATCTTTTCTTGGGTTCCTACATTTACCCCATAGTCTTAACCTTGGAAGCTTCCAAGACAGAAGGGGCCTCCATCAGCTCGACCAGTGCATCCTGGGATTCTTGCCTGTCGCACGTGGACATTGCCTCTCAGCTCTCTCTTTTTCTATCAAGAAAGCATAAATTTAAAGGAAGAGATATTTGACTGAAGGAAATTCAGGGTATCTCAGGGGAAGCAGCTAGCATATCCAATTT